ACTACACAGTCACACCATTAAGCAACTAATAAATTTTGAAATGTTAGTGGAAGAGTTACACTCTAGTTTACTTTCTCCTTTTCCTTATATGTATTTTATATTCATGTGTTCTACTGATTTTTTTACTAGACTCTATTAAATTCTAGATTTAAATATGGCAAAGCGTAAGACAAAATAGTGATGGGTGTCAACAAAATAGCTGAGTTTTTTCAGTGGGTAAGCCACTTAAATCTATTCTCTAAAAGACAATTATTCAACCTAACACAAACATAGGGAAAGCGGGATTTCAATCTTAGGTTCTTCAGTTTGACCTGTCAGGTCCATGGGAACATTCAGGCCCCAGTTTGAATGTCTATGTGCTAAAAAGTTAACTGTGTCACTAATGGAATGCCCATTAGCTGAAAAAAGAACCCCAAGACACATTAAAGAAGATATTCAACTTGCAGGAGATAGGGAGTTTGACACAAGATAAAATGGTATTATACCTAAATAATTTTTAAGGAACTTTTAAAATCTACTGACTATCACTGTATGAAGAACTCAGGTTAACAGTTCTACACTCTTAATTAAAAGGACAATCATTTAATCAATTTTCTGCAGTGAATCATTAGACTAAATTCCCATAATCTAGAATTCCCAGTATGTTCCACCTTGAGGCTGACACAATCTGGGTCATTATCTCATATACATTCAGTAAATATTCAGTGACCGAGTTTAAAGTTAGACATCATATAACACTAAAGAATTAGGTGAAACCAATATTGTATTACCTCACAGCTTTTCCTTACATCTCTTAATTTCCACCAACAAATCTAGGGCAACTTTTGCCTCTACTACTTTATTTTATGGAAGCTGAAGTATGTCATTGCTGCTGATATGTAACTTTTTTTTACATTATGGTCCTATTTCTGTTAAATAATTCTTATAGTTTTTATCAATTTAAGCTTTTAGAAAACTCCTTTTAGAACTCTGGAACAATGCATAAAATTAAATTTAAAATTTTTTCCATTTTGCTTATTAAATACAATAAAATTCTTGCTGGGCATGGTGGCGGATGCCTGTAATCCCAGCACTCAGAAGGCTGAAGCGGGACAATCACCACAAGTTTGAGATCAGCCTGGGATACATAAGTGTTCAAGGCCAGCCTGGACTACATCAGTGAGACCCTGCCTAAAAAATCAATCAATCAATCAATTTGATATATGTTCTAGACAAATTAGGTTACTGAACAAGAGTTCTCTGTTCACCTAATAACAATGTTTTGGGGGCTTTTCTGTTTTGTATTGTTTTGAGAGGGTCTCACTATATAGTTCATGCTATCCTTGAACTATGCTAGCCCAGGCTGGCTTTGAACTTACAGCAATCTTCCTGCCTCAGCCTCCCTGGTGCTGGGACTACAGGTGTACACCACCACACCTGGCAATATTAATATTGTAAAGAGGTTCAAGTGAACTTATATTTAGTGAGGTGACTTTCATTTATCCTAAAAATGGTAAATGAACTTATTATTTGTGTATGAATCTAAAGTTTGTTCCTTGTGGATATTATCTGTAAATTTAAAAAAAAATTAGGCAATCATTAAATATGATCTTAACAGGTACACTGAACAATATACTGAAACTTTCTCGTTTAACTGACATCTGCTTAGTTTTTTACTTAGTTAAGTATAAAGGTAAAGGCCCAGTTAATTCAACTCAGTAGACTGGTCAAGGCAAGACACTTGACTACACAACAGGATTTAAAAAGCAGTTGGTTTTGTAGTAGTTCTCTGGTATCACACACGCATACACACATACACACAAATTGGTAGAGTACTCTGGATATTGGACCCTCTCCCCATAATCTTATAATGCATTGTTCATAACCAGCAGTATTTTGAAAACCATAATTGAACGTGGCCAAATTAAGAGATGTCTGATAAACTTTATAAAGTATTTGGGAACTTCAGCTGTATTCCCCAAAACATTGACTTTAAACTATAAAAAACCAAGAATTTAAAAAAGCAAAACAGACTTAACAGACATCTTGAGAAAAAAAACAAAGTGTAATTCAATTTCTCCTTTTTAAAATATGACTGAGGAAAAGTTATAAGTAGTAATAATACCTACATTTTTAAAAAGAAACATTAACTAGATGAATGGGGATAGGGGAGTATACAGTATTATTGCACTCCATGAATGTGCAGAATTCCAAAATGTGCCAGCACTGAAAAACTATCTTGCATTGAGGTTTTCCAAGAGGTACAACGAGCCTGCCAAAAAAGAATCTGGTCTGTACTAACAGCTTGCTGTCTTCAGTACAGGCCTTCATAATGTCAGTCACACTGCTCTTGCAAAAATTCCTTAATGTAAAAGTTTCCAGTGCTGACAAGTGGGGCTATGATCGATGATGTGGGATTGAATCCATATGCACATTGAGCTTCATTTCATTGTCAAGAATTTGAACAAGTTGTTGCATGGACGGAAGATGACCAGATTCCAGCTTAGACCACACAGGTACATCATTTAAAGTTATCTCAAATGCACCTGTTGACATACACTGGTTCTCAATCATGTTGCTCAAGAAGAAAACCATCATACATGCAGAGACCTTATTTTCTTGGCCCCACTGCCAGATGCTCGGAGCTTGCATGCCAAAGAAAGCAAAAGGATCCTTGCCAACAATTATTAAGCCTATTAATACTAGTTTGAAGACTGACAGGAAAGATGCTATGTGTCTATAAATTGGTTGTGGGAGGTAATTCTCTCCTTCAATTCGGATGTCTGGGTACCGCTGGCTAATAACCCTCATGTACTCCTCAAACACCCGCCTATAACCTCAGGAAACACAAATCTGGAACTTGAGCAGCAGCCTCGTGGCATACTGCATCTTCAGTCTCTTGCTAGGCACACCGCCCAGATTGGCTGATGCCTCACTCCTGACCACTGCCGACGCCACGATCAGAAGCAGCAGCAAAAGCCTCATCTTAAATGAGACAGCCACTCCGGCCGCCTTCTCTCTGAGAATGCCTGAAAACGTCACATTTTTAAGTGACAGTCACATAAACTGTCAATAAAGGATATGTCTAAATCTAGCGTTTCTTTTCTGTAGAATAAAGATGTCTTGTTCATCAAGAAAGACGGGGAAAAAACAGGAAGAGATCTATTTTTAAATAAATGTAACAAAGAAACAGAATTTATAATAAACAGAAAATTATCCTAAATCAAGGGGAAAAAAGTAATGTTGCAGAAAAATAGAAGATTTGAACAGGAACTTTACAAAAAGGAAATCTATACAGACATTCCTTGGGTCCTGCAACTAGGTCGTTAAATGAATTGGTCACTAAATGAGGAATTGTATATAGTATGTACATTACAATATTCAGAACAAAGAAATGGTCAAAGGAAACTCCAACTTGATGACTTTGCTTTTATTTGCATAAGTCTTACATGCAGTACTGTAATGTATAACATAACAGCATAAAAATATAGTACTGTACAGTCAGGTATAATTAGCAAAAATTATAGTACTGTATAAACAAGATGTACTGTACAAAAAAAGACTCCATAAACAAGATGTAAAGAAATGTACAAAAAACAAAAGACAGATCATAAGTCCGAGTGGCGGGCCATTAGTCTGATCAGCACACCTCGGCGGTAAATCCAAACAGTCGTAGGTCATTAGACGAGGAATATCTGTGTAGTCATCATCTAATGTGGTGCTTGACTACATAGGTTGTTAGGAAAATGCAAGTTAAAACCACAATGATATAGCATTTCACATCCATCAGTTTGGGAAAGTTTAAAAATTCTGCCAATATCAAGAGCTGAAGAGTATGTGGAGCATGAAGAACTTTCACATAATGCTGGTTGGAGTGAAAACAAGTCACTTTGGAAATAGTGTGGAATTAGCTTATAAGATTGAATTTATGCATACCCTAAGATTCAGTAATTTCTTTTACAGGTAATATTTCAGATAAACTGGTATGCCAGGAAATATGCACACAGCAGCTTGGTTTAGAATATCTATAAATTAGAAGTAATCTAAATATGTAGAAACTGTATAGATAAATTATGGGCATCTTTAAATGGAGTACACCACAGCAATGAAAATCAACAATGGACAGCTATCAATAAAAACATCAATTAATTTCACAAATTCTTGAATGAAAAAAGCAACATACAAGAGAATGCATATATAGTATATGATCTAATTTATATAGAATTCAGTAACAGGTAACCTTTTATTTAGTATGCATACATAATGGTAAAACTAAAAGCAAGGAACTCATCATCATAAAAAGGATAATGATTGCTTCTAAGTGCTGCCTCTTAGGATGCTATACACTAAAACTGAACAAAAATTTCTACATAATTCCCGCAGTAGGGCTACAGCAGACATATATATATCTAGTCTACTCTCCCCACTCTGCCAAGTTTATAGTATTATTCCTATATGAGGTGAGGAAAGGAGAGAGAGAGTGGGGAAGAGAAGAAAGAAGAAAAGAGAAGAGTGAGAAACTATCGCAGTTTCATTTAGTTTTCTAGTTACTGATTTCTATTCCTAATGAGGCCTGGCTATAGTTTCTGTTTCCAAGTTCAAGGAGCTATCTTGTATCACCTATTTTCAGGGCCGGGGATTTAGCTCAGTGGATCTGCTGCCTGCCTCGCAAGCGCAAGGACCCGAGTTCAATACCCAGTACCAAAAAAACCACAAAAACAAAAAAAACACCTATTTTCACATTTTATTTATTTTAGATGTTTTTTCTTACTAGCAGGGGTTGTGACTGAGACAGCAGTATTAACATTAAGAGTTAATGAGTAACACAATGATAGCTGTCACTTTTCTGATTTAGCAACATTAGATAAAAATCAGGCTTTTTAATGTATCTGTACCAATTCCCCATGATGAATGCAATCATGTACTGCAAACATGTACTAATAAAAATAATTTTAAAAAGAAATTTCTAAAGATAAATATTTGTCATTAAAATGATCTAACATCATTTTTCTTTAACTTACCCTCAAGGTATGGTGCTCCTGTGCTAACAGTATTCTGAGTTCTTCATGTAGTGTTATAACGTCTAGAAATTGTCCCCATAAAGCCATCAGAAGTGAGCAAAGTTGTGCCAGATTCATATTTATAAGTTCTGCCAGTTCATCAGGGTTTTCTATTTTCTGAAATGACAAAAAAAAACCCTGTTTCCTGAGACTTATTGCAGCATTCTTAAATATTATTATGAATATTAACACAAAGGCAAATTTATGATTTAAAAAAAGAGATGTGTATGTGCATGAACGTCTATAGAGTCAGACCAACTGACCAATGATTTTCTACTTAACTGACAGTTACTGAAACAATTTTCAACAATTTTTTTTTTTTTTTCAGTACTGGGGATCGAACTCAGTACCTTGCACTTGCTAGGCAGACGTGGCACCACTGAGCTACATCCCTAGCCGATTTTCAACAATTTAATCAACATTTAATATACGAGATATTTTGTTACTAAAATAACATCAACTAAAACTAACCTAAAATTAGACATCAGAATTCTAGAGAATGATCAACTTCCAACATCAAAATATTGTATTGGAAATTTAAACATATTGCATAAACTGTTATGGAAGTTATACGTATTTCAAAAAATAAAATATTTGCCTTTAAAGGCCATCTTAACCTTGGGAAACAGCCAGAAGTCACGTGGTACCAGATATGGTGAGTAAAAACACACTGTAATATTTCTACTTAACACAAATTTCTGTAAATGTTTTTAATTGATTCTGCATATCAAGGCAGCCATGAGAGCACAACCAAAGACATTCACAAAAGAGGACTTCCAGGATTGCTTAAGAAAGTGGCAAGAGCAACACAGTATTTTGTGGGGATTAATGGCAATGTCCTTTACTATAAGTTAAAAAAAAAATTTACACACACCATAGTTACTACAATGCACATATGTGTATGTATTTATATATATATAATATATCCAAGTACTTTTTTCTGACTTTTTATTTTTTTGGTTTGAGACGAGGTCTCACTGTGCAGTTCATGGCTGGCCCTACATTCATTATGTAGCCCAGGCTGGCCTTGAACTGGTGGTGATCCTCTTGGCTTAGACTCCCGATTGCTGGTATTATAGGCATGTGCCACAATGCCCAAGGTTGGGCTTGGGTTTTTTTTTTTTTTGCACTGAGAATTGAACTCAGGGCCTCACACTTGCCACGCACTTTGGTGCTGAGCTACATCCAGGCTCTGTATTTATTTCTGTGGTGCTGGGAGTCAAACTCAGGGCATCATGCATGCTAGACAAGAGCTCTATCATTTAGCCACACATCCCCCAGCCCTAAAAAATACACTTCATATATTAATTATTTACATACTTTTCTACTTAAATATTTAACAATATGTATTAAATATTTAAAAATATATTCACAAATGGTATGTATTACATATAATACTGGTACTTTCAGCTTATTTTTTCTTCTTTTTCAAAACTACAACTCAGCAGGCTTTTCTTCCCTCATCTGAATCAAGCTTCCATTTATCCTAACTCAGAGAGAGCACAAAACACAAATTAAGCAATACTGGTAAGAAGTGAAAGGATTGTGATTATGTACTATTCATTTTCGTGACTCCAGTTACTGATACACAGTAGTAACTCAAATATTTACTAAGCTAATAAGTGAATGAATGAAGAATTATAAGCTTTAGTTAAGAAAAAAGCCCTCAAAAATTTGAGGCAAACTCAGAAAAACATTTGCAAATGCCAGAATTCTGCAGTGGAAGCTGAGTCCACAAATGATGAATATGGGGTTTGTTAACATACCATCACTACACAGATGTTTTCGCTTCAGGAAACGATTTTATAAATGAAGCTAACAAGTTTTTCAAGTTTTTCTTGACATAAAGTTTAAAACACAACACAGGGCTGGGGATTTAGCTCAGTGGTACTGTGCCTGCCTTGCAAGTGCAAGGTCCTGAGTTTGATCCCTGGTCCAGGAAAAAAATAAAAATACAACATAAACTGAAACCTGCAGTGTTATTGTTCTAAAGATGGTTTTAATGAAGTTCAGATAAAGACCTGAAGGGGAATTTGACAGTGACTAAATAACACTGTATAATGTAAGACTATACTCGGTACAGTCTACAAAAAAGTACAAATAATCCTCAGTCTTACTCTTACTGTCTTTTCTAAAAGTAAGTTATCTAGGTATCTTGTAATGATTAATTTCATTTCCTAGGGATTGTGGCATCAAGTTTCTGAGAGAAAACTTTACTATTTTCATTATTAGAAAAGCACCCCTTCAAGTATAAATAAATTACTCCTCTGGTTTGCACACATTTCTGAAATGTCAGAATGATAATCAAAATATTTTTAGGTTAACAATGGAATTCAGAATTAAGTTAGACAAGACTGTTTATATGCATAAATGTAGGAATAAGATTTTATGTTTGTGTATATTTGAAATAACATTCCATCTTAAACATACACATTTTTTATAATATTCATTGGTCTTATTTGATTACAAAATATTGCTTAATGTTCTGAAAAAGAGGAAAGCAAAAAAAGAAAATAAGTTCATTTTGGTGTACAGGTTTCAACTTTTTGAGTTATATACATAAAAGCTAAAATCATATGTAAATTTATGCCATTTTCACTGAACAACACAACTGTTTTCCCACATCATCAAACATTTGTTGAATGTACTATTATTAAAGCTGTAAAACTTTTAAAACTAATTAATGCCACATAATTCATTTCACCATTCTACTGGTGCATATTTAGGTTCCTGCTTTCAGAATGTTATAAATCTTCATATGAATCTAATATGACTAATTCTTTGTATAGACTGAGAAGAGATACTCTTTTTGGTTTTGGATACATAATACCAAACCAGTCTTTGAAAAGGACCTACAACATGTGAGAATCTGTATCTCAACAAATCTCAAGAAACACTGTTACTAAAAAAACCCCAAAAACAAACAAAAAAAATCACAGCTAGTATGTAGGTTAAAAATGGTATCAGAATATTCAAACTGTTTTGTTTTTTGTTTTTTTTGGGTACCAGGGATTGAACTCAAGACCTCGAGCTTCTGAGGCAGGCATGGCACCACTGAGCTAAATCCCTAGCCCTAAAGTTTTGTTTTCTTGACAACTGATGACACAATATTTTTCATATATTAGCCTTTTTTTGGGTAACTGGGTGTCTACTCTGTGCTAATATGAAAAATAGTGATTATATATTTTATTGATTTTAAGAGCTCTTTAAATATCTCTTGTCTATTTTATCTTGTTAAAAATTTATCCTAGGTAGCTGGGTGTGGTGGTGCATGCCTGTAATCACAGCACTTGGAAGTGAGGCAGGAGGATTGCCATGAGTTCGAGGCCAGCCTGGGCTACATAGTGAGCTCAAGGACAGCCTGAACTATAGAGCAAGACCCTGTCTCAACAACAACAACAACAACGATGAAAAATTTATCCTAGGATACTTACGTGAAGTTTTATGATGTGCATTTACATTTTAAAATTTAATCATATGTACCTAAACATGTTTATTAGTAACATGAATATATATACATGAGGATATATAAAATGTATATGTATATAATTACAATTTTATTTTTCATGCTATTCTTTTCTGTATTACTAAGAACTTGGGAAATACATCCTTTCAAATGTTATATATAATCATATAAACATGATCAAATACATAGCTTTTTAGTTTTTTAATATATAAATCATATTTTTCTTCAGTTTAGTTTTTTTTCAATTAATATATTATAAAGAGATTTCTGCAAACACACAGTACTTGGGATCACGCATCAATGATATTTCTTGAGTTAGATAATCCATGTCAATGCAAAGACATCCAACTAATTTTTTGTATAGCTACTTCAGAGTTTATAAGAATACAATTCTTTATGTTAATACCTGTGCACATGTATGAGTACTTTTATAAAATAGGTTAAATAAAAACTGTTGTGTTGGATGCAATGTGTACTTAATAAATATTTTAAAAATAAATTTATGAATTGACCTCAAAAACTATTGTACTAATTTATATTTTCACCAACAATATATGTAGAAGTCAATGCCCCTACACCATTTCCTACTACGGAGATCAACAATCACTTTCAGTTTTGGAAATTTCACTGGGAAAAGCAAAAAATCCCCCAAAACTTTATCCAAATCTGCATTTCCCTATTTTTCAGTATTATTTCAGTAGCTTACTTGTTCTGCTAAGAATTCCCTATCTGTACATTACCATTGTGTATCACTTTTGTTATAAGGGTCTTGTTTTAGAAATTGATACATGGGAGCCCTGTATATATTAATCATTTGCCTGTTTTAAATATGGAAATATTATCCTCCAATCTACTGCTTCCTTTCAACTTTGTTTATATTATAAAAAAATTCAACCATCAGTATCTTATTTTGTTCTTGAAGTCTGAAGGAAGAATCTTATATTCCAGGATCTTTTGAGGCAGGAAGTAGAACCACTGAGCTAAATCCCCAGCCCACATCCCAGGATCTTAATGCTTACACTCCCAATTTTTTTGACATTTAACTCTATTCCATTTAAAACTGCTTCTGTAGTATATTATAGAGTGAATTTCATTACTTATAAACGCTGTTCCTGATATCTTATATATTGAGTTATTACACATACTGATGACTATTTTAATGCTATTTAGTTTAACTGACTCATCTTTCTATTCTTTTAAGGTAGAAAAAGATTTATGGCATTTCATTACTGTAGTTTTACATATATTTTAGTATCGGACAAATCCTTCTATATTATTATTATTATTATTGTTATTATTTTGTACTGGGGATCGAACTCGGGTCCTTGCGCTTGCGCAGCAGGCAGCGAAACCACTGAGCTAAATCCCCGGCCCATATTTATATTATTTTTAATGTTTTACTTAGACATCATTACATTTCTTCAAATCACTTATAATTTTAAAATTCCCAAGGGGAATTTCATTGACTCATTAGATAATTAACTCGAGAAAAATTGTTATTTTTCAGTGATTTCTCTTTTTTTTTGAGACAGGGTCTTACTATGCAGTTCAGACTGGCCTTGAACTCACTATGTAGCCCAGGGTGGACTTGAACTAGTCATGATCCTCCTGCCTTAGCCTCCCAAGTGCAGGGATTACAGGCATGTGCCACCATGTCAGGCTCAGTGATTATTTTTCTGCAAGTTCATTTATTCAAATTTCAACAAATTCAAAACTAATTTCTTCATATTAACTGCACATATATTATAAATATTATTTTTAGGTTTACTGTTCCTTTTAGCAATGATTCTAAGAACATTGGTGATTTTTTTTTTCTGAGACAGGGTCTCACTTTGTAGTTCAGGCTGGCTCTGAACTCACTATGTAGCCCAGATTGGCACTGAATTCATGGTGATTTTCCTGCCTCAGCCTCCCGAGTGCTGGGATTACAGGCATGTGCCACCATGCCCAGCCTGGTGATTTTTTTTTTTTAAAGAAAATATTTGAACTGTGAGGAAATCCTCAAAGATAGTACACAAAATTACTTGTATTCTCTGAATATGTACCGTTTTTTGAGAAGGCAAGTACCTTTTTCAAAGGAGCGTGGTCCCCATTAAAACTGATATACAGAAATACACTCTAAGCCAAGTATATTTATTTGATTTAGGTCTCCCTGAATCTTTCTGTTAATTTAGCTGTTCAAGAGTGAACACAGAGTGAACTTAAAATAGTCAAAACATTTAGTTTTGTGGCAAAGAAAAAAAAAAGGAGCAAAGAAAAGAACCAAAAAAAAGAAAGTCTATTCAATTTAGTAGCAAGAAAGAACTGGAAAAATGTTGTGTGACATAAACTCATCTGCTGAAGTAGAAAAAAACTTATTTTCAAAGCACGATCATGTTATAAAAACTATGCAAGTTTAAGTGATGTCTTAAATATTTGCCCAGAAACTGAGTGAACCAACAGAAGAAAATGTGTACTTTTGATCAGTTAATTATTCTTACTAGTTCATTTGTATGCAGAATAATATGCATTTTGAGGAACTAAGCTGTGGTTCTAATAAAGATCAATCAATTTATCTTTACATTTTAAGAAAAGACAAGTATTCTTAGATAAAATACTTAGAATAGGAAACAAACTTCTGAAATAATTTGATAATGTAAATTTTAAAAATCCAAGTACCTTAACTTCTTCACATAGTTCAGTAAGTCGAGCTTCTACATCCATTTCCTCTGAAAGGAGTAAAGAGTAATTAGAGGAAGTATTTCAGTGTTAGGTCTTTAAACTATCATTGAAATTACATGTAAATAAATTCCTTTTAAAAAAGAAGATTTAAAATTACTTGGGCTATACTCAATGAACTAAATTTCAATGTACTAAACCTTCACAAACATGTTAACTACTTAGATAATGGCTTAAATTAATTCAATGTTTTGATCATTAAATAGTATGTTTCAATTCTCACAAGAGGTCTATGCTGTCAAAAAATATGGACTACATAAAGATTGGCACAACTGTCACAGAAAATTCAAATATAATTAGGTTTTACTGTAATTTGTTATTTCCAATAAAGTTAAATATTTTGTGTTATATACATACATGCTATGCTGCTTTTTTGTTCTTTGGTTTTTTTGGTACCGGGGATTGAACTTGGGTCCTTGCGCTTGCGAGGCAGGCAGCGGAACCACTGAGCTAAATCCCCGGCCCTATGTCATGCTCTTTATAAAAACCATTCCTAAAAAGTTAAAGTGCAATTAATCTAAAACATTTAAAATATACAGGGAACATAGGTTATTTAATCAAAACAAATGACAAATCCTTTTCAATAAAAAGCTCCTAATTTAGTTTAACATTAGTTTTCTATATTCTTAAAATGAGGCAAATTTATGTCTACAATAGTGCTTTACTTAATGTATGCTATAATCACCTATAAAGAAATGTATAATTTAAAATTAAAATGGGAACATTTATAAGGGAATCAAAAAATAACAGAATAGAAAAACTTACTATTTTTTACAAGAAAAGAACTAGAGACTGAAATATCACTTTTAGATATATTTAATTTTAACTAGAAGTAAAAGTAAAATGAGGTCTCTTAAAGGAAAGATAACTACATAGTCATGATCACCAAAATTCTGTAATCCTGTGAAAGAAAACAAGTTTAATTGATAATTCTTACACAAAAGTACACATTTTATGACATCCTGAAATTCACTCATTAGCTCCCTAACTTCACAAATCATTTCACTGTCAAATAAATGAATGTCTAATGTCAGCTTTTCCAAAAGTAAAACACAGCAGCAGCAAATGCTGCATTAAACTCTCAATGTCCATCACATTACTCATGATCTTTTCCTGGACAGTAAGCTATATATCTTACCTACAAATTTTTAAAAATGAAAATAAGGTTTTTAAAGTTTTGATGCATTTTTCTAATATTTACATGCAGGAGCCTAGATGCATAAAATGGTGCATTTGTATTATAGCTAGTAAGAGCTACTTCAATGCAAATAACACCTTAAAGGACGTATAAACACAAAACTTAACTTTGAAACATTAAAACTGAAATGATTTCAAAGTCATCTAGGATTTTTAACTGATTTTAAACATTTCACTGTAATTTCATTTTTTCATAATTTCAACACATTATGACATAAATGATAATTTTATAGAAATGTATAAATATGATCATTATTTTATATAAATTCTCTTTTTGGGGAGATTGGCTCTTCTTATCCAAGCTGAAAATCTAGAACATATCCTTCAACATTTTTCAAATATACATATAAGAGTTTTAGAGACAATGTTAAAAAATAGGATTGTATTTCACATATTTTCTGTACTCACAGAAATTGTTACCCTGCTCTGAACCATTTTTAAAAATGGGTACATAATATTCCTTGTGAGTGCATCATAATGTCTTCTTTTGCCCTAATGATGATTACTTCCCCTTCAGTGATTTGTCTTCTAAAATTATACTACAATAAACATGCTGGTACATACCTTCAGATACACTATTTCTATGATACAAATCATCAGAAGTGGGATAACCAGGTCAAAAGGTACATGTATATTTATTTCCCAAATTCATACATCCATTTATCTATTCGATATTTATAATTCTGCTCAGAAAATGTCAAGACAATGCTAGATTTTAAGGATCAAATATAGTTTTGAATCCAGTCTTTTTTTCCACCCAGCCAGATTCTGGGCCTTTCTTCATAGAGCCCATGTTACATTAAGCATCATTCTGTGAAACTATTTAGAATGCTCACATGTAAAGTGATAGGCTGGTAGTACAACAGTTTAAATAAAAACCTTATTTTAACCATTAGAATGTTAAAACATGTCATAAATGAGCAAAATTTCATAAAATGAATTATTTGATTTTACACTAACTTTATATAAAGATATAAAACTATTTTTTCCAACAGAATACCTATAAGTATTCAAACTTCTTTTCTCCTGTCAAAAAAAATCTGTTTTTCTTAACAGGTTTAGTAAAAAGTAATACAACTTAAACACTGAGATTTTAATTTATTTTGTATTGTTCACACTTCTGTCAAATGAGAAATGTTTTAATTTTATTCATATTTTAAATTTCTATGGCTTTTCATAATTTAAAAAAAGTAAATATAATGTTCTGCTCAACACAAAGTAAAAACTGTCCAAATACTTGCAGAAAGTAAATTAAGTACTACTGCTATGCAAGAACAAGTCTAACATATAATATGGAAATACATAAATAAAATAATAAGATCAGAATATTTTCTTTAAAATACATAGTATCTGGATAGTTGTGATTTGATGGTATTTCTTTTTAAATTTATTTTTAGAACAATACACAATAAATGCAAATTGACTAAAAACATAAAACTAAATAGGAAGGATGCTTCTCTTATTTATTTCTGCACTGCATGAAACCAGCTTTGGTTTTTAAACTACATTCATTATTATTAGGCCTACCCAAAGATAAAATTACTTTAAGCAAACAAGGCAGTATCATTCAACCAGCAAATTCTGGTAGTACACATGGTTTTGAAAAAGTTGTCTTTGTAGAAACTCAAAAGACTATGGAAAAAGCCAAAGATGTCTCTATAATTACCATTTCCAGTTTTAAATAAAAATTTCAATATTACAAATTAAGAAATTAACCCAAATTTACTTACAAACCAAATTGATTTTACAATTAATTCTTAAAAGTTGCGGGAATACATATTAACAAATATACATTTATGAAATTTGAAACTAAATCAAAATTTCATACTAATTAAAAGGGATTATTTAATTAACCTATTTGTAAACATACCTACACAGGAGTCTTTCTGGGTTCTTGGCTGTTTTCTTCTGAGAAGGCGCTCATATAGGACCTGTATGTTGGCCTTGGCTAGTTGTAAGGATTGCACACAGCACTAGTTACTATCCTCCTTTTACAACAGAATGTACTAGAATTTTCCAACTTGTTAATAATAGATTTAGTATTGATTTGATAGTGTAATTAGTTAATTAGCTTATCAGAATTATAAATGATGTACATTCTACTTTATATTACTGTAGTTTTTATGTAAGTATATGTGCCATTCAACATTTTATATTCCAATATTATTTTTATGTTTTAATTTCTGGACTCAGAACTTTAGTATTGGCAGGGATCCCAGATATCACCTACATCAGTGGTGGCAAACCTACGGCACGTATGCCACAGCCAGCTATTTGTTATCAATGAAAGCTCTAACAGGTTCCTCGTCACTGACTGGGTCAATTCCCTGTATTTTAGGTGTAAATACTAAGACTTAAGTTGGTTATATGACTTGAAAAAGACCTAGATTCCAGGAGTCCTCATTCTCATTTCCAGTAGAACTCCTTGAATCAAACCAGAGTTTAACATATATCATCAAAAAAATGTACATCATTTATCTAGGAAAAAAGAAAAGGGCAAAAAAGCAGAAGGGGAATTCAAAGTATTATTTTAAAAGAGGGGAGAGAGTTTAGATAAATTTTTAAAGGCATTATTGTTTTAAGAATTTAAATATATGCTTATTTGAAAACTCAAGAAAAATGCTAAATATAGAAAGAAATCTAATACTTTGTCTAATAAAAAATTACATTACATCTGTTAGAACTGGTTAATATAGTGATGGTTAGTTAACAATATATTATAGAAATATGTCCATGTCCACAATTTTATTTTGCTAAGACAAAAATAAACAATATTGATGTTTTTAGAATATGCAACAAATACTTTTACTTTCAATAGTTAATAGCATTTTAAGATGTTCTCCTAGAGAACATTCAAGAGTAAACTAATATTCACAAAAAGAACTGAAAATGTAAGTAGTAAAATTTAAGAAATAGCCAAAATATTACCAATAAATATCTCCTAAAGACAAGTCTTGATTGTAAAAATTCCTAGGTAACTATCAAAAGGCACATGTCAATGCCTATACTTTTCCAAGTAACAATAAAAACTGTATTGTGCTATTTCATCAAATTTTGAGTAGATATATTCATAAGGCACCAATATTTTTATTGTTTCTATAATTTGGTTATCTAAAATTAACATCTGGATTTCTTTAGAATTTTATTTTCTGATGAAATATTTTAAGCAAGTAATTTGGAATTATGTTCATATTCATTTAGTAACTGACTCTTGAAATTAAACACAGGAGTTTTAAAAATTGTAATATTTTCTATATTATACCTATAAGTCCAAAGGTATATAACATAAAAGCCACCCTTACCTGAAGCTAAACAATACTATAAATGAATTATAATGCTGAAGTTAAACATACAGAAATAAAATGCTAACATGTCTAAGCCATTTGAAATAAGGCTTTAATTTTGAGAAATGTTTTTGTTTATTTGACCAATAAACATACTTCCTAATTTTTTTTTTTTTTTTTGGTACTGGGGATTGAACTCGGGACCTTGTGCTTGCTTGTGAGGCAGGTGGCAGAGCCACTGAGCTAAATCCCCAGCCCTTATACTTCCTAATTTTTGAGAAATATTTTTTCCTAAGTTAAGATGTGGTTCATGCATTTTTTTCACTTGGAAATATTAGACATTAAATCTACTTGAATATTATATGCAGATGGACATCTTTACAAAAGCATTCATAGGCCCACACTGTATACTAAAACCAAAGCAGCCTTGTTTTGTTGCTAAGTTTCTCCTGCCCATCCTCTTGCTGAGCTAATATGTGACTACTATTTCTGTGAAGGAGAGGATAGGAGAAGCCAAAGTTCTTTAAAGATAGACCTATCCTTTCCTCAGCACCTTGCTCAGTGCCTGACAGCAGGCACTAAGGAGCCCAAGGGAATCGCACTATGGAGTACTATTCCCAGAACACAAGACACCTTCTCCCTTGACGGTGTCCTCCCTCACCTTTCCTTCCTGACTCACACACTGCATTGATTCTGTTCAATCTCCTTACATTTCACATAGGAACACTTGGTGATTACAGACGCAAAATGATCAAGTGACAGAAGTAATTCCAAGTGTGCACTCTTAAGCACATAATGGGCCCTTGAATTCCATGATAGTATTCTATACTGAAACCAGTAATGTTTTCTTGTAGAAATATTATTACATACAGCTTTTATGTTTCATACTGCTGTTTTTCATAAGTACTACTTTTCAGACACATGATCTTGTCCTCGATTAATATTGTGGTTTAGGGTCGAGGATTTAGCTCAGTGATTCCGCCACCTGCCTCAAAAGTGCAAGGTCCCGAGTTTGATCCCCGGTACAAAAAAAAAATAATACTGTGACTTAATAATTTTGTGGTTTAGCCTTTAAACCTAATCAAATTTTTAAATATAATTTTCCTACAAAAATATTTTCAGTTCCAAATTATCTAATTAAAAAATATATTGAACATGATTTGTTCCTTAGCTATGGATAAGAACCCATGTTAACTCTATTGTATAAATGATTCTTTCATTCTTAAAAGAACATATTAAACAATTTACATTTGAGGCAGTTGTGTCCTGCAGAATTTTCCAAAGGAAAAACAAAGGGATTCTAAGTATGTGAAATAGCAAAGAAAAAAAGAGAATGTTTCAGAGAATAATTAAAAGGTTATTCTTTCACGTAACTGTTTTTTTGTTCTAAGAAAGAATACATGGTTAATAAAATATAAATTCATTTTCCTATTGCTTGTGTATCTGCATACACACTGGGATTACTGAATCAAGGATTCTAAATTGTTAGTTTAGTGATACCTTTATCTAGTCAAGTGAAACGTGGACTCCACTGGCTAAATGGAATGAATCAAATCCATGTATTATGTATCAATTCCCTACAGTGAATTTAATCATTATGTACTGCAAACGTACTAATAAAAGTCAAAGAAAAGAAAAGAAAAAACTAATTAGACCACAAGAGTGGTCCCGGGTAGGCAGAGATATAGCAATGAACTTTTCTTTAGAGCTGAACCGAGGTGGTATACAAATCCTTAAACTTCCTGCAATTTTGGAACCCCAAGCTGACAATTACACAAAGAGCCTAATTAGTTTCAAACTGAAGAACTTTAATAACAGTGACAATTTTGAGAATGCATCAATTTGTTAAAATACTGAGATCTTTGTAAGACAAAGAAATATATAGCAAAATAGACTAAATAAATTTAAAATTTTTTCTGCCTCATTCAAATATACAATGATAATAATTATTCTGAAGAGATAATTCATGTACTTTTTTTGTGTGTGTGAGACAGGGTCTCATTATGTAGTGCAAGCTGGCCTGGAATTCACTATGCAGCCCAGGCTGGGCTCAAACTCATGGTGATCCTCCCGCTCCAGCCTCCTGAATGCTGGGATTATAGGTGTATGTCACTATGCCTGGCTTACATGTACTTTTTCATGAGCTGATATTTGAAAATAAAAGCTTATAAAGCTACCACAAAAAGTCTGAATAAGATTTATTTTTCCAATAATTTATCTTCTGTAAAATAATATATGTTAAAATGTTCTGCAAACTAAAAATGCTATACAAAATCTAAGAAATATGTTTATAATATATATGCAGATATAGTATTCCTCATGGGTTGAAACCACAGCTTGACTTTTAAAAGACTTAAGCAATTTTTAAAATGTTAAAACACTGAATATGTTGTTCCTTGAAGTGATATAAAAGGAGTACAGATCTGAGGTAACTTAAAATCAAATGTACATAAAGTTGTTCCAAGAACCTATAATCTGCTTAGACTGTCAAATATTTGTAAGTATAGATTTAATTTACCTTCCTACTATTCTATAGATAATTATATTTGCTTTCTGATTATATTTTAAGGGGAGTCATATATTGGCTTGTCATTTTAAAAAAAATTCTATCAAAAGACTCATTTCAAATTTACCACCAAAAAGCTATTTCTCAGTATGGTAAGTTTTAAATTGCAAAAAGTGATTATCGAGGTTAAAAAAGAAGAGATTGAGAGAGAAATAAAAGTAAACCCTATAAACATTTTAGTTTTAGTATACAAGAAGTACAGCAAAGCTGGTAACTAGCAATAGAAGATTGAAGAGAATGACGTGAACCATAGGACAGGCCTGGCCACTTTTAACATACCCAGTTCTAGTTTCTGACAAGAGGGAATCTCTTCCGTTACCGTAATGAAGTAGTTGTGCAATCCCTTGAAGGCTAGCAGCAAAATGGCACAAAGGGTATAATGAAAACGGTAGGCATGATGGAGGAAGGAATCAGCAATGATGAAACTGCAGCCCTAAACAAAGAATAGATTGGGAATATGAAGTGTTAGCAACCCCAAATCTAAAAGTATTACACTTGACACTTGGAAAGACTTTAAAACTATCTGAACCTTTGCCCAAAACTTATTTTAAAATATATAAGAGATTTAGCAATATTTACAGGTTTTTATACAAGTATATAAATAAGCTGTGACTTATATAAAGCGATTTAAACCACAGTTTAAATCAGAAACAAGCAGATTGAATGATGATGTGTGGTAACATGAGATTCATATTTGGGCTGCAGCACAGATCCTCTGCTTGTTTAATATAAGCTCCTCTTCCTTTGACAGTAATGTCTAGACCTGTACTTCTCTACGTGGGTCTCAACTCTGGCCACTGTTCTTTTCTTTTTGTTCTTTTGAGACAGGGTCTAGCTATGCAGTTCAGACTGGCCTTGAACTCACTATGTAGCCCAGGCTGACCTTGAACTCACCACGATCCTCCCACCTCAGCCTCCCTCAGCTCCCGAGTAATGAGATTACAGGCATGTGCACCATTCTGCCTGGCCTATTCTTTAAAAGCTCCTTTGAAATGATTTCTTTTTTTTGTACTGGGGATCGAACTTGGGCCCTTGTACTTGGGAGGCAGGCACCGGAACCACTGAGCTAAATACCCAGCCCCGCTTTGAAATGATTTTAACAGTTCTATTACGGGAGCAAGTGGTGACCAAAAGAAGTTTTACAAAGGCACCATCTATCAAAGATCTCTATTCACTAAGTGTTAAATTTTGAAATATCGAGTTAGTTTTCATAATATTAAGTGGAATTACCCATTTTGCTCATATTTAATTATAGCTGTAAGTTGCTAAGCTCAAATAATAAACGAAAGAAACATCATATTCACAGATAAAATAGTTAAGAGCTTTTAAAATAGGAAAAATCAATGTAAGAAAGAAAAGAAGATTTAAAAATATAGTCAGTTCTTACATCTGGTGACAACTGTTTTGTGTAGTTAATACCAAAGACCACACTTTCAAGAGTAGGAATCACAGAATCTCTGTTTTGTGCTGGTGCATTTCTGTTTAACCAAGTAGTCTTCACAGGGCGAGGGAAGCTGGAGGAGTAAGTATTGTGGTTATTAATATCTTAGCAACATTTAATGTAAGTTAGATATTTACAAAACCATATATTACAGAAATAGCAGAACAAGGATTTTGCAAGACTATGAATTCTAAAATACTCTTAATTTTTTCTTTAAATTAATTTTTCCTTTAATAATTTGAGTACTTATAAAACAATGTAACAAATCTTAAAAAAACAAAACAAAACTAAGGCTGAATGTTTGAAACTGTTTCTCTTTGGGGGTTTCAGGAAATCTCAAAATGGTACTAGAACAGGGTTAGTTCCAGAGCAGCTAAATGAGAAATGACAGTCACATTTTAATTTGGAAATACTTATCTGCCAGAACTAGTTATCAAAGTTAAAATGTTAATAATCAAATATAAATACTATTTATAAAAATAAAGACATTATACTTAAAATGTAGAAAAAAACCTGCCTGATATCTCTATTCGTGAAAAATAAGGTAATTCTTTAATCCTCTTCACTAAAGGCTGTGAACTTTATTAAAATAATTTTAAAAGTGCTTCATGGCACCACTCAGTCACATGTTAATTAATTACTTCTGTGAATATTTATATTACAATTAGTATTACATAAATTTTGGAGAATTAAAAAGCATATTCGCTTGAGAATTTGGACTGTTTGAAAGTTTGGTACAAGGGAAAGGACATAAAAGTAACTCGTTTGCCATGAGCATAGAGTCTTAAATATCTTAAAATATCTATATCCCAGCAAAAGAGACAGTCACAAGTCCATGGTGAGTTGCACTTGCTTTAATGTGTTTTTCAGAATTGAGTCACAGAAGTTGCACTTTGAAAAATTCAAATATTAGAAATTGTTAAACAACAGTGAAGAAATCCTAAATCTACTTAAATAATTGCTGCAATGTCTAGAGTTGATGACAGAAATTATTTTAAATAAAACTATTTTAAAAAGATAATGTTATAGATTAAAATTTTTCAATTTGTGTAGGGAATTACAAGCCCAACTTCAGGAGAAGCTTGTTGAAGCAGAAAGAGTGAAGACTGTTACCTGTGGACATTACTCCTTCATCAGCACACTGCCCGGAAAAGCTTTTCCTCACCCTTTCCTTTTCCATCTATTCATTCATAGGCAAGGAAAGTAAGGAAAGACAATGCTACTTTGAGGGCAGTACTGTAGCTGCAAGAGAGATATAAGGGTCCTTGGCAGCCTGGTAAAGAACAGCAACTAAGCTGGGTGTGGGCTGCACATCCGTGAGCCCGGCTCTTTGGAGGCTGAGGCAGGAGGATTGCTTCAAGGTTGAGGCCAGCATGGGTGTCCTAGTGAATTCAAGACCAGCTTGAACTACACAGTGAGGCCCTGTCTCAAAAAGGCAAAAAAACAAAACAAAACAAAACAAAAAACAACAACAAAAACCAGCAACCATAACTGTTGCAAGTACCTCATGTTTTCTTTTCCCAGTCCTAAACACAGCTAACAGGTAATTCTCTTGGCTTCTGATTCTGAGTCAAAAATATCTTCTAGCAAATAGTCTGTAGGAGATGAGCTGCCTCTTTCTCCTACTACTACTCTGTGGCAAAAAGTGCTACACTGCAAGAGGAAGTACAGTTTTAACGAGTCTTTAAAAGCAAGATGAAGGAGCTGAGTTAATTTCCACAAACTATTTGTACATTTTTTTCAGGAAAGAAACTAAACTAATTTTTTTTGTTTGGTACTGGGGATCTAATTTGGGACCTTGCTCTTGCAAGGCAGGCAGCGGAACCACTGAGCTAAATCCCCCAACCCAAGCTATTTTTTTTATAAAGATAGTCTTAGTAGTTTTTAAAAAAATTGTTGCAACAGTGATTTTTAATCAAAACTACAAAAACAAGAGATTCAGAAAACAAATGTATTTTTTGAAACTTCAGCTGTAAAACCTAACATGTAATTCACATAAGTGTAATATTCTATATTACTTAAGTTACAAGTTAAAAAAAAAACCACTTTCTTGTCAAATAAGTTTCATTTCAGCTATGTTACTATACACTTATCTATTCTTTTGGAAGAACAACTTCCAAAATTTTCAAAAAAGCTTACAATTGAATTAAAAACTGAAAAATACAGTGAATGTTTAAGTACTTTAAAAAAACATTATAGTAGTAAAGCATAAAAGAGACACTGCCATTAATCTCCCTCAAAACACTCCTCCCCCTCCACACTTTGAAATACTCATCCCATCATTCCTGCCACTCCCCCCACCCCCATCCCAGACTGGGGAACAAACTCAGGACCTTGCACTTGCAAGGCAGGTGTGCTGCCACTGAGCTAAATCCCTGGCCCCCTGCCACTTTCTGAAGCAGTTCTGGAAGTCTTTCATTAGTGTCTTTAGTTCCACTATCATAGTTGCTCTGACGCCCTGAATGGATTCAAAATATTTACTTGCCATGGTCATTTTGACTTTGGGGAAGAACCAGAAGTCACACAGTGCCATGAGTGAGGACACACAGTAATGATTTTACGAGCCTGCCTTCCTGTTAGATGGCACTGGGCAGCAGTACTCACTGCATATTTAATCATACCTCGTAAATAGATTCATGAAAGACTTTTAGAACTCTTTGAGAAGTTGCAAGGATGATAGGATAAGTGTGTTTGAAGCGATGGGGACTATTTTGAAAGGGATTAATGGCAATGTGTCTTTTACTTCAATACATTTAAAAAATTTAAACACACTGTATATCTGACCTGTCCCTGGAGTTATAATAATTTAAAAGAATCTTTCTGTTTATAAAGCTATTAGTAACTCAGCACAACCTCTCAAAAGCGTAAGAGGTAAGATAAAGATGGAGAAGCAACTAGTCACAGGTCTTACTACAAAATACGTAAGGGAAAGAGAGTCAGAATAGCTTTATTTATGTCTCTGTAGCTTACAGGAATAAGGTCAAGATGATCTTTATGTAAGAGAATAGGGAGCTACACAATGGAAGACATTCTCAATTAGTTTTTAAGACAGTGTAAATATATGCCATTTAAGGGCCATCATTTGTGGCTAATTTGTTAAACTCTGTAGGGTTCTATAAGTTCTGAGGATATTCTGCACACTGACCTACTTAGCTTTTTGATCATCAGCTTACTATCATATCCCTCAAGGATCATTCCTAAATGCAGTTATCAGAATATCTATGTCAGAAATTGTAGACTGCTTAGAAATCAAATAAATTTGGAGTCTTTTTACATTAATCACAGATTTTAAATGTCAATCTACTGTCTATACTACAAGGATCATGTTTTACTGCATGAACTAAGGCGACTGAATCGCTTTCTTACATCAGTGAAAGACAGTATGTCTCCCTATGGAGGTGGCCAGAGAAAATAATTATCTCTGCCCTTACTACAATCCAAAATATTACACATTTTCAAAGTAAAATTGTGTATGACAGTTAAAAAGGCTTAATAAAAATCCGTAAAATTGGTTAATGACTTAGAAAGCAATGACTATCATTTGATATAGTTAGAAAGATAAAATTAGCCATACAAACAAGAAACAAAACAACTAAGAAAAATTCACATACTTTTACAGAGAATGAGTAATAACAATATAACACTGTTAAAAACAGGTACAGACTAAACAATATTATATAGACATTTCTGGATTGCAGACTTGGTCAACTCATTTGGAATTAAGAAAGGCTGCTTCATACAGTGGTACCTTGGTTCACAAACTCGACTGTTTCCATGATTCTTGTTCCAAACCGAGTTGGAAAGGACCGAATCAATGGTTCCTTAAGAGGAAATTTGATTAGGTTCTTGTCCAGTTCAGTTTGCGACCAGAAATGTGGAGAGAATTCAGTTTGTGAATCGAGGTACCACTGTATCTCTAAAGCAAGACATTTATCAATCTAGTGATAAATGAAATGAACTGAATTTTATTATTTTATTAGTTTAGTATAAATGAAAGTATTTAAGTATAAATTTAAAAAGTACTACTTCAGTTACATTGATCAAAATATGTTTTCATTATAAAAATGAAAAACATCACATTGATAAGCACTAGCGTTCTGGTTAAATTTACCTTATTAGTGGCTGGTGTAGTGAAACTAATGATGCATGGACTGTAACAGACACAACTGAAAGGTGGAAATAATCAAACATAACATTGACATGATGATGAAGTCCTCTATAGAGGCTGAAGTGCAGCTTAAGTGTTCGGCTACTTATTAGTTGCAAGGCGTTCAGATCATCTGCCCTATTTAAAAAAAAAAAAAGTATTTTCATATAAGTATGGAACATCTAGAAAGACTGATATTTTACAGAGTAATTTAAATTATCAGAAACATTTACTTGAGTACTTCTCAAAAATTTAGAATGAGACTAATTTTTAAAGCATCAAATTTGCATTAGGCCAGAATATGAAATCTATCAACAGAAAATAACTGCATCTCACTTGTAGTTTTCTAGTAGTCCATGATGGGGGCCCTTTTTTCACTAACATCCCTATAAAATGAGTCCTTTTGAGCCTTGAGAAATTCATTTCCTCTTAAGTTTTACTCTATAGAGAGTACAGTTTCTAATAAGGTTGCAGGAGAACACAGGTTATACTCTATTATAATAAATCCCAAAAGATACTTCAAATTATTTTTATTATACAAAATTTTATTAACTGCTGCTCAGAAAACAAGTAAGCCATTGCTTATTCAGTAAAGTAAGATTAATTTTACTTCAGATATTTAGTCTGGCATTAAATTTACACCTGCAAAAAATTTAAAACGACATGAAAATTATATCCAAATATACTTTTAAAAAATGCACACACAGCAGAGCGTGGCGGGACACCCCTGTAATTCTAGAACTCTGGGAGACTGAGGCAGGAGAATCACAAGTTTGAGCCCAGCCTGAGCATCTTAGTGAGGCTTTGTCTCAAAATAAAAAAGGGCTGTGGATATAGTTTAGGGCAAAGGCCTGGGTTCAATCACTACTATCATAAAACAGAAGGAAGGAAGGAAGGAAGGAAGGAAGGAAGGGAGAGAGGGAGGGAGGGAGGGAGGGAAAGAAGGGAGACATACATTTTAACTACCTAAAACTAATGAACTACCTACTTATTTCAGCTTAGCTCACTTACAGAATGCTGATCTGATTAAACAAACAAAAATCTTACAGGATTCTTGTATAACAAGTATCACACAGTCAGTAATTACCATATTAAAATTCTTATTCCTCTATGATTGTGAAGAGGACAAATAAAGAAGATCTTTCATATTACTGCTCAGTAGTCAGTAATGTGACTAGTCCTAAATGTAGGCCAAATTTATATAGTTTTCGAGAAGTATTTCTAAAGCCTCACCTGAAACAGGGAAAAAAAGCCCTCCAAAGGAAAAATTGTTAAATGGATCCTTGATTTTTGTTTTGACTGAATACAACCACAATTTGTCTCTAATATGTATGACTGTGAGTCCAGGTGTGTGGGCAAGTACTGGGTAGAGATAGTCCTAAAACTTCCTCAAGACTCTAAGAGTTCTTAGTCTTGACAATTCTCAGAGCACCAACAAAATCCCACCTGAAGACATAACTCAGGCTACTCAGAAGAAATTGCCAATGATACAGTAGAAAAGAATTCAGGTATATTTCCATGTCTCATTATATCAATTGCGGTATTATATCAACTGTGCAATTTCTAGAGTCTAGGAAATTGTTTCATATTCCTTTTATTTATCCGATTTTGTTACTTGGACTTCATGGAATCAGCTTGGGCACAAAAGAGCAACCTAAACCCTTGTCATAAGACTCTCCCAGCAAACAGAAGCACTTCAAAATAAATGACAATAAAGAGAAGCTGAAGAGTTTTTAATTGTTTGAATGGCCCACTTACGAATAATCTCCATCTGTGAAGTGCAGATCCAAGGATAATAGAAAACTCATTTCCTGGAGGGTTTCTTCAATCTGAAGGGAAATTATAATATGAGATTCTTTCTGAATATTTATAAAAAGTTATCTAAATATGTATGAAGAGATGTTTACCTTTCTTTCATCCAACAACATTTTAACTTTGAAGATCATAACATCATTTAAAACAACTTCTTCATTTTTGTACAGAATTTGAAATGTTTTACTGCAAATCAGAGAATCATGAACTGAAGCTGGGAAGGCTAAAGTCATACCTAAAACAGATAAGACAGGTAACTGAGAGGGTGAAGATAAAATATAATAGTACAATAAATATTTTTTATTTTAAAATACTGTTTGATTATAATCCTCCATTGTCATTACCATTTTCTACAGATATATTAGAACATTTCTGAAAGTTTGTTAATCTCTATGACAAAAACTGAATATGTAGATTACAACCATTATAAAACTGTCACAACATATAAGTCTGAAAGGTAACTGAGGAAATCTCAAGATAGTTATCTTTGAGCAAAGAATTGATCTGTATACCACAGGAAAACACAATTTCATTTTCTACAGCTGAAAAGTAAATTTAGTTGGTCTTTGTATTGGTTGTTGAGAGGTAACTTCAAACCCTAGAATAAAGAATTTGGTCTGTGTCCCCAGTTTCTGGGAAGCAGATGCAGTTCTTGGTGAGTCCAGATAGCTTATGGTAACTTGGTGCTGGGTGGTGGGCATTCACAGAGCTAATGTTACACAGATGCCACAGGATGGGGCCAGACAAACTTTGATGAGGATTATCCACATGGTCAGAGAACTGGGCGTCCTGTCATGTGAGATGAGCCCAACATCCAGGGAGGGGAAGAGGCCTGGAGATGTGAGTCATGTGGGGAATGATTCATGGCTCCGTGATGAAACATCAGTTAAAACCAATGGACACTGAAGTCTGGATGAGCTTCCACAGCTGGTAATACTGCTTATTTTAACATACTGGTGGTGGTAACACATCCTAGCTTCACAGGAAGAAAACAATAAAATCTTCACATCTGAGATCTTTCCAGACCAAACCTATGTACCTTTTTATTGGACTGGTTCTGATTTGTACTTTTCCAATAATAAAACTGTAACACATATAGTACTTTCTGGGACACAGTAAATTGTTCCAGTGAATTATCACGCATGTAAGGGAACCACTAAATCTGTTGCCAGTGGACACCTTGCAGACCACTGAACTTGTAGTAGTATCTGAAGTGAGGGGCAGTCGTGGAAAACTATGTCCTTAATCTGTAGGTTTGTTCTGTCTCTGGTTCAAGGACATCAGGTCACTGCAACAGTCAGCCTACTGTCATATTTTTATAACCATATCTTCCAGCAACACCATGAAGTAAGAAACAGAGTAGGAGTCCAAAAGAGACAGAAAAGACTTCCACTTGGGAATGCGGGTGGAGGAGATAATAGTGGCAGCCTAACAGACTCTACTGGAGTCTAATTGAAGTGGGAGAACATGCCAGCATAATGACCTCTGAGAAAAATACTTTAGCGAGGTAAAGAGCTGAGAAAGGTGAGAGAGGGGTCCACATGAGGGGAGTAATGTAGCACGAGGTAAAGCTCAAGTAGCACAAAAAGACCCATGGTAGAGAAGCAAAGACAGCAGATAGGAGGAGACTGGCCCATATAAGAGATTGATCAAAAAGAAAATATATTAAGAATAAAAAATGTTCTTTATACCATGCTTGCAGCTTTCCTGTAAGCTTGAGACATTTCAAAATATTTATGTACTTATGGGAGACCAAGTACATTAGAAGCTCAACTTTTGAGCTGTATTTTAGAGAAGAACTGAAAGGGGGAAGACATTTTCCTCAATAAAAAGTAGATAATGCAAAATTGGAACTGATGGCCTTAAGAAGTAGAGATTTTCCTACTGCTCTACCTTGCGGATGCTGCTTCTCTCAAGTAGGTCTCTTTTTTCACACTCTCTCTCCTACCAGGTCTGGAGTAACCCTGTTCCTTACTGATGCTTTTGAATAGTTTTGTCTCCCCTATAATCACCTCTACTATGAGCTTTGAGTCTCAGGTCACTAGACAGCATAATACCACTGACCACCTTACCCATTTCTACAGTCTCTACAAATTCCTAGAAGCCTCATTTCTTCAAAGTTTTATTTATTAACTCAAGGTTACTTTGTCCAACTACTTTGGGCACTTCTCTTGGTGAATGCAACAACAATGTTGATAAACCTGAGGTCTGAATTCTCTGGTACTTTTCCTCCTCTCTTTTGTGTTCCTGCCCTACAGTCCTCTGCAGTCCTCATCTTAAGATCCTCCCTAGACTGTTACAGTACCCCTGATTTCAATTCCTCTGTAATTTTAATTCCAATCAACTTCCTCTCTCACATCTTCACCTTTTTACTCCACTTCCTCTAATACCACAAATTTAACAATTCTGTGACCCACTGAGTAGATTCCATGAATCCTGATGCTTTTCATTATCTCTATAGTTGCTTTCAACTCCTCATTTTCCTGTTTACTTTTACATTTCATGATTCATCATTATCCCACCCTCTTGCATACTTCCTTGCAAGCTGTAGTCCGGTGCACTGGCATGTGCCTATAGTCCCAGCTCCTGAGAGGGTAAGGCTGGGGTTCCCCAGTTTGAGGCTAAAAATTATTTTCAGTCTCTGATAACTTTGGTTCTTATCATGTGAGATAGTAAAAATAATCAGAACATTTCTATAAGCTTCACTAGTATATCTACCTATAGATGTACCTAGACAAACTCCTTATTTTCTCTGCTCCCCTTTCTGGCAAAACTTCTCAAGGGTCTTTGATAATTTGTCTAATTTATTTCCTTCCATTATCTCTAGCTCATTTTGTGTAGCCAGCCTCCAATATAGCCCTGTGGATTCTCACTTCCTGGCATTCACATGCTTCACAATTTCATCCTGCAGAGTTCATCTCTGTGAACACAGCAGAAGTAATTGACTGCAACCTCATGAGAGGTCCTGAGCCAGAACCCTACAGCTAAAGTCCCGATAAACAGAAACTGTGAGATGTATTATTTTAAACTAAGCTGGGTGGTAAATTTTTACACAGCAACAATTAATTCCCATTCCACCTAAACTGACTCATATAACTGTTCTTTTTTTTCAAACCTAGGGCCTCATATACACAAGACAAGTGCTCCAAGCTATATCCCCAGCCCATAACTGCTCTTATGAAGATGACCAATGACTTCTGCTTTGGTGAACCCAAAGGGAAATTCTCTGAACCCACTCACTTGACATAATTAGCATTTTACACAGTTACACATTGTCTCATTTTTGAAGTAGTTCCTTAACCTGACATTCTGGACATCACCCTCTCCTGGTTTTGCTCTTACCTTGTAGGCTAGTCCTTTTCAGTGTTTTTTGCTGTTTTTTTCTTTTTTTTCCCCATTAAGAAACAGACAAAACCAAAAGCGAAATAGAACAAACAAACAAAAAATCCCAGCATAGTGTGCTGATTAAAAACAGACTTTAGAACCAGACTGGCTGAGTTTAAATCCTGGATCTGTCACTTGCTAGACTTGTGATCTTTATTAATTTATTTTTTCCACATGCTTCCTGTCCAATTCTGGCAAACCCCACTGGCTCTACCCATAAACTCTAATACTCATTGAGTAGGAGTGGTAGAAATGCTCAAACATGAAAAAAAAAAACAACCCCCAAAAACAAAAAACCCCACCCAAACTGGCTTTAGGAACAAATGTCCTAAAAGGGATTCCAGCACCAGATAAGAAATAATGCCAAACTGCTTTGGAATAACTAATAATATAGCCTCCAGTGAAAGATGCCTATACACTTACTTGACATCAATATTTAAAACTTTAAGAAAGATATGACAATGACTTACAACTAATAAATTTCTTAATTTATTCTCATAATGGGAGCATGGGAAACAGAAGCAACTTTCTTTTAGTCATTTATTTATTTATCTAACAAATATTTACTGAAAAGCTTTTATCTTCTAGATACTTTCCACATTGGGGGGATACAAAATAAAATGAAAGAAATGAAAATGTTTGACCTCATACAGATTTCATTCTAATGGGGTGGGGTGGCACATCTAAAAATAATAAGTGAATGATATATGTTTGAAACTAATAGTGCTACGGCAAAAAACAGAGGAAGGAAAGAAGGATGAGAAAGATAATTTTAAACAGAAACATCAGGCAATACATCAGCCAATATGTTCTTGAGAAGGTGACCGGTCAGCAAAGAACACAAAGAAATTCTTATGTCCCTCCCCCTCATATGTCACTAAATTGTTGCCCTTCCCCTTCAACCTAGCAGTAGGCTGGTGGTTTATTCTCTGGAGAGGATAAAATAGAAGCCCTTTGAACTGAAAGTCATCTGATAAAAGAGATCACGATTATAAGAGCACAGGAATATTGAATATATTGTATGTATAGTTTGTATATATTGTATGTATATATATTGTATGTAGAGGTTCCAAAGATTCTTCCTCTACTGTGCTTCTAGAAGTCTGTCAGCTAGACCCAGAAAGGAGAGACAAGAGTCCTCTCTGGTGACCCAAGAACTGTAAAGAATCAGAGATTTTACCCTGCTGGCAAGCTAACAAGCTTACCTGACATGGTTTCACAAATGTTGGCAGAAGGCCCAACTTCTAGGTCAAAGACAAAAGATTTTGCTCTTCACAGCATGGCAAGAATCATGAGCTTCTTATTCACAATAGTTCCCCTTGCACCCACTCCCCCAAGTCCATGGAGTGACATGGAGTCAGGTCCGGGTGGACAGTATGTGTGCAGTGGGTTGCTGGTCACAACTGAGGAACTCTAAGACACCTTAATCTTCTATAAACCAGTGTAATCATTTTGCCCTGGAGAGATACATTATCATTACACTGAACAGTAAAAATATTTACCCTGTGCTTCAGATTAGATATTATCTCTAACTTATCTCTAACTTCAAAAGCTGTCCATTAACCAAACATCCTTCTGTCAGTCTGTAACAGAGGCCTTCAGGTAGCTCTGCTCAAGAAAAAAAAAAAGTACAGAAACATGGGAAAGGATGGAGAAGAACTGTCAACAATGCACAAGGCAAAACCTTAAACATCACAAGTCTGACCAGTCAATGAAAAATATCTACAGATACTGACTTCCAAGATTCCCCGGCAAATGGATCTAAAGTGAAACTGCAGAGATAAGACCCATGCATGCTCTCAGAGCTCCCAATTAGCCTTCCTTTCAGTTATGCTTACATATCGGAGACCT